TGAATCCGCATATCCCAAAGAGAGGAGGAAATGGCTGGGGGTGAATGTAGCTTTCTGTACTGGCTTCAACCTGGAAGGTTTTAGAGTGTGTGCTAGAGTGAATGAAAGTGAGTAAGATAAATCTAAAGGATGGTGGGCAGCCCATTTCATGCCCCTGAGGGAGTGAAAGACCGTCCTGCTGCTTGGACTCAGCAGCTCCAAACTGTCTGAGGGAAAACTGCCCAACAGGCCCTCAGCATCCCACTGTGAAGATTTATGTGGACAAGAATGCACTATTTACATAATTTCTTTACATATGCACAAGGTGAACTCATCACTTTCTGTTTCGATGAAGGTCAACAGCGCTGCTTCCTGGTGTGCTAAGTCTTGATATGATTAGCATGTCACATCCAAGATATTTCTGGTTTGGCGCTTATGAAATGCTCTTGACTTTGTTCTAAAACAGTTTGGATACACCTGTGCTGTCTATTTAAATGTAAAGTTTGTATAAAATTGTTCATGCTCTACCAGTGCTACTATTAGCAGTGCTCATTTTAGAAAGGCTTGTGGATCCCAGCTAACATGGAACATTCTCACAACTTTCACTAATATTTTTTAAAAGTTATATAAATGTTAAGACAAAACATTTATGAAGTAATGTTTATTAATAATGTTTACTAACTTTACTAATATTTGATATACGTTCTCATAACATTGAGGGAAAACATTCTTATAACAATATTCTTGAGACATTCTCATGATGTTATTTGTACTTGATGAACATTCCATGAAATGTTTTTTGTAACCTTTAAATAGCGTTCTAATCACGGCAGGATAACTGGGCATTTTAATGTTCTTTAAAATAAATGTTCAAATAATGTTATATTATGGGTGAAAATAAAGGTAGTAGAATGATGAAATAAACATTTAAATAACATTATAACCACAACAAGAAAACTGCACATTTTAACATTTTAGAAACATTTCAAAACAATGTTTTCACAACCTAAAGGTTTTATAACCTAGGATGGCTGCACACGCTTTTGTCAAAGTTGTGTTAAGAAGATACCAGGATGCTTCAACAAGTGTTTTCAAGGCAAGTGAAAGTTATTATCAGTAATAAAAAGTAAATTTAATAAAATAAACATTAAGTTAAAAAAAACTTATTTCAGCTAGTTGCTGAGGCACCATTTCTCATTTTCATTTAGTTTAACAAAGTAATAAAATAACTCAAATTAACTAAACTAAAACGAATATATAGAAATTAATAAACACTATTTAGGCTTAAAAGATAATAAAAATGACCCAAAAAAATCACTAAAACTTTAGCTAAAAGTGAAAACAGAAAATATAAAAATAAAATCTGATTCAAAATGTTAATAAAAACTGTAATACTGTATAAGTGATGGAAGAACTAATCTGTGGATTTGCCAAAGTTAGTAAACAAGCTAATAATTTAACACTCACAATTTTGTAGCGATGAGGTTATCTTGTTTTGTTCTAAAAACTCTTTGTTTGCGTGGCGCCAGCAGGTTGATAATCTGTAGGTGCGAGTTTCCTATCAAGTTAGCCATTAAAGCGCTGCAGGTTAATGGTTGTCATTTCACTCTAAGTCCATCATTAACCAGTCAGTCAGTAGTGGACATCAGTGGGTGGCCATGATGACTATTAGTTTGCTGACCAGCAGTGAACCTTCTTTATGGACCATTATGGGCCTACTCTACTTTGTTTTATCCCATTTATCATGCCTTTTCTTTCTGGAATGCACAGGTTGTGACCTTTCCAAGCTGATTGCTCTTAAAAAGATGGTGTGTTTAGCACAGTTTTAATTATCACTCTGCCTATGAAGCAGGTGACAATGTGTTTGAAATATGAGAGCGAGACGGTAGGAGCCTCTCAGCAAAGCCGTCCTCCACGTGTCCTTCCTCAAGATGGGCTCCCCCGCGGCATCATAATTGAAAATTACGAATGTTTGGGGCCGTGATTAATCTGTGACCTTTGATCTCTGCTGTAGCCAACCCTGCATATCAACTTAGGCTGGGGTCAAGAGATACATCTGTGGGAAGACACACATAAACACACACATCCATACGCAAGTAGACCTGATAATGTAATGCGCCCTGACAGCTTTTTAATTATCACCCTATCCCAGGTCGTTAAAGGATGCCTCCAATATCCTGGTCATGTTTCAGCAGCAGTTAAGTCAAAGGAGTATCTCATTTTTTTTTTATTAATTATCAGATAAAGTCATAAGGAGAGGGTGGCAGGCTCCACCATGACTCGTTTAAACGCTCATTTATGAACTTTGTTCTTCATGCAAAAAATAATTAAGGGAGTTATTACTCTTGTCTTAATGGGAGTACATGGTGGAGAAAGCAGGGAGGAGAGGGAGAGACAGTTTAATGTGCTTGACACTTTCTGGCCGAGATTGGATTTGATGCAGATGCTAAACTGTTTAGCCACAATGAGTCGAAGTAATTTATTGGAATTCTTCCACAGGAAGCCACAACAAATATATTGTTCAGTAAAACATAGACAGGCTAACTAGTAAACATCTTGCATGTGGAATTAAATTGTGAGCATGTAATGTGCTTTACTTTTAAAATGTTTTAAACAGAATAATCAACTTACAGTGACCTATATAAATGTTTCTCAACTAAGTGCATATTCTATGCCATGTAAGTGCCAAATAATTTGTAAAATGGATAATGAGCTTAGTTCAAACATAAAAATAATTGCATTTTCTAATGGTTTAAACTGGCTCACTATAATAACAATGAAGTGATGGATAGCAATGGAGGAGAAATGGCAAACCTGTTGGTGTACATTTAGTATACTGTACTGTATGATAACTAGCATTTTCATCTAAGGGTGAACAACTTGCAGTTTTGAATATGGGCAAGCGAGCAGTTGTGCCCCTCATGTGACCAGTCTTTACTCTCATGAATTATTGAACTAATTTAGCAAAACATTTCGGATGAACAGCCTTTCAGCAAGGCTAGAGCTTGGAATCAGTTCACATTCTGACACAACTTCCTGGTGGAAAATATGAAACCATGTATTAACAAATTAAACAAAGATTTTTCAAATTAAATGAAAATGTAAAAACCTTAAAGATAAAATAATTAAAGGTTTATTTCAAGGGTATCTTAAAGCAGTGATTAATGTGGTTAAACTCCAGATTTTACATTAGATATTAAGTGGCAGCCCAACAGTATGATGTAGCGTCTGGACCAACCAGAAACACAATTTTTTTAGTTATATTTAACAAATACTCTGTAACACCCCTCAGTCAACAAACCAACTACGAGGGTCTATGGACCCTTCCCCCGAAATGCATCTAACACCTCAGAAAGGCAGAACAGACCTCTGGTTCCATGGCAACCAATGCTAATATCACTGGTTTTATTGCCCAAAGGAATGCGGGCAGAGAAACTCACAATTCATTTACCCTTAGGAAAGACACACAATGCCCATAAAAATGGACTCTTCTA